ATGACACAAGACACTTGTTTTGTTTGTGTTCTTAAAATGTTTCCCACACCTATTGGTCGTATGGTGATCATATGCTATTCCCTGTAAAGTTTTAAGTTACTTTTAGGTGGTCATACTATAATCAAGCTACTGTTAATCCATGACGATGTTTAGTGCTCACACACTAAACAGCAAAAAAGTCCAAAAAAAGGTTATGAATTTAGTTAAACTACCCACAAGCTGCTGCAAACAGCAAGTGCTGTTGGATGGCGAGGAACAAAAGAGATGGATGGGGCAATGTCTTTTGAAGGGAGAGAAAGGCATAGAAAATACATAATGCACAGATAGATGGCATAATATAGATATATATATATATATATATATAATATATATATATATATATATATATATAATATATATATATATATATATATAATATATATATATATATATATATATATAAATAATAATAATAACAAAAACAAATAGTGTCTCTCTGCACAGTTTAGTCCTGGCATTGCTCTGACAAGCGCTCTTTGGACCAGGTGAGAATGTGAGACTGACCTCTGGTGGCTGAACTGACAACAACAGAATTTAAGATTTTTGCCATGTGAAAAGCATCTTTATACAGCTTCCCCAGCCAGAGTATGCAATCAAGAGTCCAGAATTCATGGACAACCTCCCCCTTGCTCCCTTCCATCCACCCACCCACCCAAATGCAGTCAGAGGTTGATAAAATGAGCAGAAGTTGAGAGATTTTTAAAAAAAAATCAGCCTTGATGTTGATCTCTAAAGCAGAGGAGTGAAGTGATAAGAGGACAATGGACAGAGCTGGATCACACACTCGCAAAGGAAATGACTGTGTCTTTTTTTTGTACTTGTTCCTGGGTTTTTGAGAAGTCTTCATTATGTCGGCATGTCGGGTTGTGGCCATCTTTCACCATTTCAACCCCATTAGACTCTGTTTCTACAGGTGAAATCGCCTTTCTGTCAGCTAACTCTTTGCTCTGTCTGTCTGCTCATCACGTTGCCTGAATCTCTGGCTCCATGCATGCAGCCAAGCACAACCCACAGCCTTATGAGACCCTATGCTGAGGCTCAGCAGAGGGGTTACTGTATATGCACAGCATAGAAGTGTAAAGTGAGTCAGCATGGAGAGGCAGAGCCCGCACACTAGAAGTCTGGACACACACCTTTCATCATCAGGGATTCTAAGGTAAGGCATTTAAGGCAAATGCTCAGTGGGCCATAAAGTTGGTAATTACTCCCGGGTACACATACATCACGGCTGATAGGGACATATGAGGACAGGGTGTAAACAAATAACAGGGAATTCCTATCACTGCTTCTGGTATTTGATATCATCTGTTTTTATGTTTCGACCCCAGCTAGTTTTAGTCTTTCTTTTAGATATTTGACTGTTTTTATTTGGTTTTATCTATAGCTTATGCATTTTTATTATTTAGTTCCAGTGTACAGCACTTTGTGTCAGTTGTGGTTGTTTTAAAGTTCTCTATAAATCAAGATGAAATTGTATGGTATGTTGCTTTAAGCTGTGAATACTAATCACACTGTGTAACTTTGTTGAGAAGAATTTAATAGTTTTCTTTCCAGTGGTCAGCAGCTCTGGCCACTAAAAGATGTCAAAAAAACAAAACAGGGAAAAAATGAAAAATGAGGATGAAAACAGTGTCAGTAAATGACATCAAAATAAGGCAGAACTGTGCTCTTAGCGTAGCTTTTATTACATTACAATTTGGGTAAAAACATTTATCTGGCAGGCAGGAGGGTAGCCTATTGAGATTTACTCCCTGAACAGATTTTTTTACCTGCTTTTGGCACTTAGCAGTGTTCATTCTGGATTTTGTAGACTGATACTTTTGAACCAAATGGACATGTAGACCTAAAAGCACGGTGGTGGACTGACAGGTGTACAAGCAGATTAGACGGCAGGCAGGCAGATGAATATCAAACAGTCTGACATGGTTGATTCTGCCAGGGACACTGAATTATAATCACTGCACAGCTGGCCAAAACGAAAACGGTAATAATACTCTGCTAAGGTTATCCTAACAATATGCAGTCTAATTTTTCATCTGTGGTTGTGTTGCGGTGATAAACTGCTGTACAAGCAACAGCAAATAAGATCACAGCACAAGCTGGCAAAAATCATGCTGCACTAAATCTACAAATTAGATTTGGGCTCGTTAGCAAAACTCAACAAATATCCCAGGCTCTCTTTCAACTAGGAGGGTGAATAAAGCAAGACAAAAAAAAAAACAATGAAAGAATTTTCCTGTATTTTCAGTAAATAAGAGAACAGTATATACCAGAGTAATTACAAACCAACTTGTAACACATGATTTGCTTTACTGGATTGAGCAGATATATTGTAATGTGAGCTATTTAAATCTGTAGATGTCTTTCTCTCAGAAAATGAGTAATGATAGGTGACAGAGCGAGACCTCAGAGAGTGTTTTCTTTCTCAGATGAGTGATGATAAACAGAATGATTCTGTCAGCAATCTAAGACAGATAACTTTCCTCCAAATATCCGACAATGACAGTGAAACATCCGCTGCCACTTTGATCGCAGCTGATAGGAAAGGATGGGTGTGCAGAGACACGGAGAAGCTAAAATGAAGAAAAAAAGGCAGAATAACTAAGATTGAGACTGATTTGTTGAAGCATCCAGTTGCTTTATAAGCAGATTTATACTGCAAAACAAATGATTTGTATGAAAGTGAATTAACAGGGGTGGCTGATACTGAAAAAGTGAAGTGAAAACATATTTTAAAAATTGTATGGGTGGTTTATGGCACCAGATGGTTCGTACAAGTTGTTCAGCTAAATGGTGCATTTCCATATTTAAAATGAATGACCCTGATAATACCATGAATGCAGCACTTAAGGAAGTGAAGTGCATTCAAAAAGCAGAATTTCAACTGCATGATTTTTAATTATGGAACATCAGAGTTCATCCTGGTTAGTTTGTGTGTGCAGAATGAGGACTAATAGCAAGAGGGTGCAAGAGGATATGTACATACTGTACATATAAAAAAAAAAGGGTTCATTTCTAAATGATTACAACTCATTCAGATGGTGTAAGTACTATACTTCTCTTGGTCTTGTTCAGTAGACGCCACATATCACAATCATCGGGATGACTGCTGATTTGATACCTGTCCAGATGATGATGATCATCATCGACACCCTCCGTGTGAGGGTAATTGCTGAAAAAAGGCTGGCTGTTCAGAGAGTGCCCAGTCGAAGAATATTAATGTTGAAAAAAAAAAAAGCCTATAATCTGGAGAGCTTCATGGGGATGGATGAGGCTGGTGTCAGTGCAACAAGAGCCACCATACACAGACATCTTCAGGAGAGGGGCAACAACTGTTGCATTCATATCAAGCCAGTCCTGAATGAGAGCCTGAGCCAGAAATGTCTGTCGATTAAGAATGAAAACAACTGAATTGCTGGCGAAGTCCTCTATTCAGATGAAAGTCAATTTTGCATTTCATTCAGAAATCAAGGTCCTAAAGTCTGGTGATTAGGGAGGCACAGAATCCAATGTGTTTTAAGTTTAGAGTGAATTTTCCACAGTCTGTGATGATTTGCGATGCCTGTCATCTGCCGGTGCTAGTGGTGGTTGGTCCGCTGTGTTTTAAGTCCAAAGACAATGCAGCTACCAGGAGATTTTAGAGCATTTCATCCTTCAAGCTGTATGGAGATGCACGTTAACGTTTTCAGCGGGACTTAGGTTTGGCACACTGGGCAGATGCTATTTCCACATGGTTTCCTGACCGTGTTATTACTATGCTTGTTTGGCTAACTATCTCACCTGACCTGCATCACATAGATAATCTGTTGGGCACTATTAAGAGGAAGATGAGAAACAGCTGAATTACAAATACAGAGAAGCTGAAAACCTGTATCAAAGCAGCCTGGACATCAGTAACAGTGCCACAAGCTGATCACCTCCATTCCATGCTGCATTAATGCAAGAACTCTTAGTAAAGAAGCCCTAACAGAGCATTGACTGTATACAGAAGTTGGATATTCTTGTACTGTAAATCCAGTTTTAATTAATCATAGTAAATATTCTAATAATCTGAGATACTGGATTTATGATTTACAGGAAGCTATAAGCCATAATCATCAAAATGAAAACAAAAAAGCTTAAAATATTTTACTTTGCATGAAGAATATAGTATAAAGAACAAGGCTAAAGACAGAACACTGTCTACTTTCTGGTTAATAGAGCCCACTGCGTCTTGCCTGGCACAAATATGGAGCAGGCTCTCCTCGCTGCTTTTGTTGCTTTGATATGCTCAAATCTTAGTAGCAGGTCGAAATGCTTGGCCTCATAATTAACCAGTTGCCGTATCATTTTCCTTCCAGACAGTACTGGCCTTGAAATGATATCAATATTGATGCAATTCCCAGAGCTCAGATTGAATCTGACATTGATATCTCTTACTGTGATGTCAGTTTCATTTCATTTTTCTTTTGGTCACGGTAGTAGAGTGGTTTGCTCAGTAAACACAAAATGGTGATAGGGAAATGACTGGTGTCATATCCACAATGTTGTTAAAGCTATGCAATCAAATCACAGCTCACCAGTGTCTTGAGATTTTAGTAACAGTGTATCCAATTCACTTTCTCAATATTATATTTAACCAAATAGACTGATTGCCTGAGGGTAGATTAAAGTTCGATCTCTGCTTCTGATAAGACGCCACAGATTTAATGAACGACCTCAGTCAAAAGGGCATGTCTTATACTGTCCTTGGGGTGCTTTAACTTTAATACTTTAACAGATTTGTTTTTTCCCTTTTGCCGTCTTATGTAAAATGATCAGTGCGGGGTTGTGTTTTAAAATGCTGCACCATATTTCTGAAAAGTTTTGGAGAAGTGAAAGGGACAAAGTTTCAGAAATGGAGAGAGATGGTCAGACCACACATAGTCACACACATTCTCCCAGCACATACTACTCCACTCCGACAGCCAGGTATAACTCACGTGGTGAAGGCAGGGTTGTACTTTGCTCCGAGGTAATATGAGTACAGGTTGAACATGCCGATCATGAAGGCCACAAACACCATGATGAAAATGACCATAAACTTGAAGATGTCCTTGACTGTGCGCCCCAGTGAAATCTGCAGGGGTCCAAAGCTCTCATTGGCTGGCAGTATGTAGGCGATGCGAGAGAAGCTCAGAACGACGGCGATGGCGTACAGGCCTTCTGAGATGATCTGAGGATCTGATGGGCGCCACTTGTTTCTGGCTGAAGGGAGAATAAGCCACAGAATGGTTGTTTTGTAATATTATAATTTTATTAGCAAATCAGACATTAAAAGGGATCTTTGGCCATTTTTTTCACCTAATTAACTACACTAAATAAAATCTGATATGTTAAACAAACTCTGTAATTAGTGCTGAAATGATATTCATATTTTAATTCAGAAGCCAGCTTGGAGGGATTCAAGATTTAAATATCTGCTAATAACTGTTTCAAACTGTTGCTGATGCTGAATATGTACTAGCACTTTATAAACCAAATATTAAACGTTACATAAGAAGGGGTTAAAGCGGTGTTACCTTAAACTCTACTGTGCACATGCAGTTTGTCACTCATCGTCCCATTGCTTGCTATTCAAAGTCTTTCTGGTTACAGCGCACTGAGTAAACCTCTGGTTGTAGTGCGATCCAAATGTTTGTAAGATATGTTTCTATGAAGAATAATCTCAGCTTTAAGAAGCACGGATTTCGACGAAGGAGACGGTGCAGTAAGAAGATGGATTAAGTGAGGAATGGAAAAACGAAAGTCAGAGTAAAAGTTTGAAGAGAAGAGCGAGTGGAGCAAGAGGAGGGAAAGAAATTAGTCTGAGCTGTGTGGACGGCAAAGGGAAGGGATAAAGGGATAGTGTGTCCAAGGAGAAGTAAGGACAGCTAGAGAGAGGGAGATCAGGAAATAACTGAGATATCAAAGGAGACTGATGTGGCTAGGTGGCAATGTAAGATACAAGAGAGATGAGTCAAATAAAAGAAAAAGAGCTTCCATTTCACTATTTTATCAAAATCATAGTTTATTAGTATAACATTTTCACACCTTTACAGATATTGGGACATTTAGGGGAAGGTTTATGAGGATTATATGTGAGAGTGCAGTAATAGAACCTTTATCGATTTATTGATATGTCATGACAGAGTCAGGCCACCAGATGACAGCACTGATGAAGGTTCTATTAGTGGACCGCTAAGTGCACAGTGCAGTGGGCTGCAGCCTGTGGCAGGGTTTGCTATGGTGGAGGCATGTTTTTGTTCTGGTGTTTAACTGAATGCATGCTTATCATTCAGGGATTAAAGATAATGTTGATTTTTTTGTCATTCTTTTTTTTACTCATTCTGGTCATCTGACTGCAGTAGCATGTGTGTAGCAGCAAATCAACCATTGCAGGGATTGTTTTATTACTGTGAAGATCTCCAGGTGACAACCCCAATTCTGAAGGAGTAGTGATGCTGCATAAAACGTAATTAAAAAGAGAACTAACCCAGATTTTATTCACAACAGAACAAACAAAACATATCAAATTTTAGAGAGAGAAAATGCAGTGTTTTAGAAAAAATATTAGCTCATTTTGAATTTGATGCCAACAAACATGGCTCAAAAAAGCTGAGACAGGATGATGTTTACCACCAGATGTTTACTTATTAAAAGAAGAGTGGATGCAACCACTCTTCTTTTAATAAGTAAACATCTGGTAACTGAAAAGACCAGTTTTCTGTTCCATGATGTGCCAAGTTTTTTCAGTTCCTGAAAGGTCTGTACTACAGAGGGTCGAGTTCAGCATCTGGATTCGTCTACTATGAAGTTGTAATAGCTTTAATATTCTCTCTCATAAATATGTAAGGCGTTCCCTGAAAAAAGATGTCATCTGGATGGCAGCATATGTTGATTTAAAACCTGTATATACCTTTTAGGACTGATGGTGCCTTTCCAGATGTGCAGGTTGCCAGTACCACACCTAAAGCAACCTCATACCATCAGAGATGTTCATTTTAAGTTCACTTTGGTCCAGACATGATGGCACATTTATTCACATATTGTTTCTTCTTTGCATGACAGACCTTTAACCTGTATTGTAGTTGGCTATTGAGCTCATGCATGTCATGATTTCCATGGCAGAATCACACCTTGTTTGAATGCAGTGCTGCCTGAGGGGCTGAAGATCACAGGCATTCCAATATTGATTTTCAGCCTTATCTCTGATTTTTCCAGACTCTCTGACTCCTTTGATTAGATATTCGACATCTTCACAATTTTCCACAGGGGAGCATTATTCTGATATTGTTCTACAATTTGTAGATGCGTTTGTTTTTTTTGCAGATTGGTGAACCTCTGCTCATCTTCTGAGAAACTCTGCCTTTCTAAGATGCTCTGTTTATACCCACTCATGTTGCTGACCTGTCGCCAGTTACCCTAATTAGATGCAAAATGCTCCTGAAGCTGTTTCTTTTTACAACCACTTCCCTTTTCAGCCTTTTTCTTACCCCCTGTCAAATCTTCTTTTGATTGGTGCCATCAAATTCAAAATGAGCCAATATATTTTGGAAAATGGTTTTCAGCTTCAAGTATCATGTGCAGTCCGGGTTTCTGTAATTAATGGCGTTTTTGCACTCATCTAATTTGCTATTCCTTATCAGTGACTGATGTAGCCCAACACTGATTCAAGCACCTCTATATAATATTGATAACAATATCTATAATATAAATGTAGCTTATATTTAACTTACATGATTCTTTTTATTGACTACTCACCGTAAGTGAAATAAGCCACTTCATCAGGCAGTGAGGCGTTGCTGAGGTCGTCATCTGGTACATGCATGTCGACATATTGCTGGGCCTTGGATGCCTTCAGGAATGCCATGAAGCGTGCCGTGAAGGATGCCACAAAGATGGATAACATACCAAAGTCCAGAACATTCCAAAGGTGCATGACATACTCCCTGGGTCCGTCACTCCAGATCTCCTTGCACTCTGACCAAATCATGCCTGAACATAAAAGACACATATAGACAAAAATAACACAAAAATAAGGAGGCCGTTGCCAGCACTTATATAGGGATGCATAAATGAAGCACGTACAAATAGATGTCGACAACAAAGCTTGTAATTGAAAATGAACCACTCAGACGTGTGGCACTTACAGATCAGGTGGATGCAAACACATACACACTCCATTCTCTATTTGGAGCCAAAACACAGTTAAAATTGCCTAGAGAGGCGCCCTGATCAGTATCATCTCTCTAACAATTACTGGGCCTTCAAAGCATGCTACCGGAATTACAATTACCACATCTAACTAAGCCACCACTCAATGCACACACATACACTCACAGATTCATGTAGATAAACAGTCACATGTGCAGCGACTGCTAAAAATTTACTGTAGATGGGAAAAAAAATGTTGCCATTACATATAAACAAATAAAAACAGAGGCACATGTGCACCAACATACACAGACCACACACATAATATTGTTAGAGTGTGTGCATGAGCGGAAGCAGATGGGAAGCAGCTGAGCTCTGACAGATACTGCTGTGGGCTATTTATCCACCAAGTTTGTCTTTGTCTGCCTGTCTGTCACCCTCTTCTATCTCCTTCGATTCCTCACGCCTGCCTTCCTGTATTCCACGCACACACCCTACTCTGCTTTCTTTTGTCGCCCTCAACTACTCCCAACTTTCCTTCCATTTTTCTTTCATTCCGTTCCTCCCTCTTATATTTCCTCTGCATAGCCTCCCAGGTCAACCTCCCAATTTCCCTCCAGGTTATCGTTAGGACTCAGCAGGGCTACTGTCTGCGCTGTACCAACCAGAAAATTTCTTTTTGATCTTCGGAGGATAAAAGAGCATGATTTGTTGTGTTGCTGTAACCTTGGCTTTCATTCACTTGCCTGGTAGGGCACTCTATTAAACTTGAATTACACCTCATATCAAAGGTGGGCAAAAAGTTTTCTGACTATTTCCAGACTGTTTACTGATTTATGGTGAAGGTGTATGTAGAAAAAAACTTGAAAAGAAACTTTGGATTAGCATAGAAAAATGTGCAAACCTAGGACAAAGTATATTCATGGTTAATAACATAATAAAGTGCACGCATTACAAAAAAAGAACACGCTTAGCTGTGCCTTGCTTACTTGACACATCAAGGTTATTTTTTATCACGTTGGACAATCTGCTTTTACAGGGACAATCTATTCTAATCTAATCAACTGATGTGCATTTTAATTGGCTGTAACTGTGCACAGCCACACTGTGTGTGTGTGTGTGTGTATGATTTGATTGAAAGGGTGACTTACCCAATACCCACTTCATTATCAACATCTCTGTCCAGGAAAACTGGGTGGTTTTGACCCTGAACACCTGTCGAGGATGGTCTGTGATGGTCTCGTTGGGAAGGTTCTTTACTCCTTCAAAGCGGTCGGAAGCATTGACGACCAGGAGACCCAGGAAGATGGTGAAGGAGACAGCGTGAGCCACAAACTTCATGAAGGGGCTTCGCAGGATCTGACCAAGCTGGAAGTGAAAAAATTTAGGAACTTCCAATGTGTTTACTATTCCAATGCGTCAAATATTAAGGATCAATTATGGTAATATAGATATAGATTAACAATATCAATTTAAATTTGCATTTACTGATCAGAAAACAAATTGTAGAAAACAAAAACAGTGGGGTATTGACACATTAAGCAAAATTTCACCGTCTATCTGTGATTACAACAGCCAACAAATTCTGTTTTACAGTAAAGAAACATGTTTGAGTTTGGACGGACAAAATTGCAGCCAAGCTCAACATCTGCTTTTATTTACTGAGATGAATCATGCTTTCTGCAGAGTTCCTGAGACTTTGGTCCTCAGAGAGAGCAAAAAATGCTGCAAAGCACCACTACACCACCATTTTAGCAGACAAACAGCAGCTGTTGTAATTCATGAATGTGCGTAACCACCGATCACTCTCACACACACATTATGCCAGAGTAACTAGATGGCAAACCATTAGCAGAGCCTGTGGAAATGCACTGCATCAAGCAAAAGTAATGCAAGACGGTACAGCACAAATAGCATTTAACAAGCCACCACACAGAGGGGCATTTTTGTAATTGCACATAAGTGTGCCAAGTCACACAAATGCACTTACACACTTAGACACACGCACACTTCTAACCCCATACGGGCATTTGAGATCCCAACATTTGCTACTCTCTGAACCTGCTGTGTTCAATATTAACTACCCACAGGATATCTCTACTCTCTGCATGAACAATAATACATCAGATTCAGTAGCTCTTCCCATGCCACACACACACTGCTAAATCATGGGGGAAGAGGTTGTCTGGTAATTTTTAACCTTGCAAAACCTCCTTTAAACCTCTTCATGACACCTTCATCCCTCCCAGCATCTGTGCCGATCCATTTCACTCCTCAGGTTAAATAAGATGGTCATCTCAGATCAGACCTTCTGCTGTGTGGCGACTGCAGACTCCATGGGTTTCTTTAGTGTGATGGTGACAAGAGCTTGTCTCCTCCAACAAAATGGCAGCTGCTAGCAGGAGGTATGTGCATATTAAATAAGTAGAAGCCTGGTGTGAAAATCATCTAAAGCCAGGATGGATCTTCTTTTTCTCTTATTATAAGGTCTTTTTACCTGGGAGAATACATAATGTTTCTTAAGTGTGATCAAAATGTTCTAAAATTTAGCCCATAAAAACCTTACCCAATTTAAGTTTGGCTAATTTCCTGTTCAAGATAATCATTTTGGGTATACCCAGACAGCTTCCAGTGCTGCAGAAGCTCCCAAGATGTCAATAAAGATCCCTTGGGATTTCATCTCAAACCTGCAGAGACAGCAAACTAGGACTTCTTTTTAAAACTGATGTGTATTACCCATGAAGGTCCACTGCTGGTGTTGATAGCTGGACCTCTTACCACGACCAAGCAGCTGAGAGCAGTTTTTAGCTGAAGGTTCAGTGCTTTAGATGAGGAAAGAGATCTGAAGGATGCTTTTCTCCCCCAAACATTCACAGGGTTCTGCACCGTGAACTGATCCCTCAGGGAGATGCTGTCAATGTGGAGTTTTACTGTAACGTCTACTAAAAACACACTGAAAATGCGAATACGATTTTTGGCCACAGCCACATAATCTTTACTCACTGTCAACAGTTCTTTAAGTCCTGTTCTGGATTCTTTTTTGACCTCCTGGATGCGTCACAGATGAAGTCTCTATTTGTGGAGATGGTGATTCACTGGAGTCTCAAAGCTTTAAAAAGTGGCTTTGTAACCCTTTCCAGACTGCTAGATGTCAATGACTTTGCTTCTCATCAGTTTTTGAGTTTTTTTTAGATCGTGGCATGATGTGTTGCTTTTTGAGATCTTTGGTCCGGTTTTACTTTGTCAGACAGGGGTCGCAGTAGCTCAGGAGGTAGAGCAGAAGATGATCAGAGGATTGGCTGCACCAGTCTGAGTGTTAAAGTATCCATAGGCAAAATACAGTTGCTCTCTGATGCACTCACTGGAGTGTGAATGTTAGATAGAAAGCACTTAAGTAATCAGTAATCAGGCACAGACTGGTGAAATTGAACTCAGCTTTCAAAAAAATATTGTTAATCACAGTTAATTCATAATTTAAAAAGGACAGATTTTTTTTTTGCCTAATAAATGAAATGATTATTTACAAACTACATTTTTTATTTATTTGGGGTCTCTTTATCCAACATCAAAATTATTTGATGATTTGAAACATTTATATATCAGTAATATACAGAAACAAAGACACCAGGAAGGGGGCAAACACCTTCTGTAAAACACCTAACCCTTTTTCACAGCACCATGGCATCCACTTAGAGGTGCAAGAGAAAACGATCTTGAAGCAAAAATGGCAATGCTTTTGTTTTGTTTTTCTGGACATTTCCTGGAACTTTTTAAAATTTTTGTAAAGAAAGACTATGAATAATTTATAAATTTACACCCATCTAATCAATTCAGGGTCACTAGATAGACTAGAGCCTATCCCAGCAACCAAAGGAAAAGAGGGAAGGTTACACCCTGGACAGGTCATCAGCCTGTCGCAGAGCTAATAGAGAGAGACAGACAACCATTCACACTCACATTCACACCTATGGGCACTTCAGAATCTCTAATTAACCTAACCTTACTAACTGCATGTCTTTGGACTGTGGGAGGAAGCTGGAGTGCCCGGAGTGAACCCACAGCCACATGAAAAGATCTTATTTTTTCCTAAAATATATTAAATACACTGCATACTTTGGGTTAACTATATAATCATATAGAGGACCTTTACTAATGTGTACATTTTCACATCTATACTCTGTTTCTCTTTGCAGCTATCTCTTTAATTCAAACTAAAGAGATATTTCCAGCAATGCAAACTACACTGCATTCTGGTTAGTGAGCCTTAATATATACAATATTAATCAAATAGCTTCCTCATTTTATATTGGACTGAAGTAAATATTTGAAAGAATTTGCTCAGTGCTTGGAGGTAAAATAAATGAAGTCTGCTATGTTGCTTGCTTTACCTGACCTACATTAGCTGCAAAAAAAAAAGAAACCTGTCCTTTGTATACTGATAAGGATTTTTTTTTGGTACTGGCTTCGATTTGAATCTCCCATGAGACAAAATGAGGCCAAGAAAAGCTAGGACGGAAACAAAAAATCTCAAAGTGTGTCCAAAATTTTAAAACCGCAGGCAGCCGTGTCAGAGATAGCATGCAAAAATATATTTCAGCCAATTAAGTAGATGATGGACTGCAGAAAAGTAATTAATGAAAAAATAATTACTTAATATCGGCGCAACATGTAGCATTTGGAAATGTCAGCGTATCATTGCCAAATTGATTGTCATCGTTGGTATAATTATCATTAATAAAGAGCCTCGTCATGCCTGAAATACTCTGTGAAAATAAGGACGAGGTTTACCATAGTTTCAGAATCATAAGCTTTCCTTACACGTACTCTTACCTTTTCACTATAAATCTGCAAAGTTAGTGATACAAATGAATCCTTGACTAACATGTGAAACTTGGTTCATCAAGTCTCCAAGGCAATTTTCCTCTTCATCACTTGTTCTCTTTTTCTGACTTTTTATCTATTTTCAGTTACTCGCGGAAGGCTGAAAAATTTCACGTCACTCACCATATTTTAACCTCTTCAATCAATAAGAAGCATTCTATCTCTGATCGCACATCTGCTTTTCATCACTTCTGAAGCATATCGCTGCTATTTTTCACCCGAAGAGGATTTTCAAAGCAATTACAGTATCCATGTTTTTTCTGCCTGCTCTCAATGACTTACTACTTCTGTTACAGGAACAAAAACACTGTCTTTATCGCCCCAGGCTGATATGAAATGTAATATGATGTGGGATTTTAATAATTGTGTGTTGTAGTGTTGTAAAATGGGGCATAGTATGGGCTGTAAAAAACAAGCAATTGATGAGATGAGATGAGAAGAACTAGATGATTAGCTGCAGGTGCAGGAGGCTACACTAAACACAATCAACCAGAACACATCAAAGCTTTCTCTCTGCGTTTGTCTGTCGAACTGTATTTTTGTTCTGATTTACACTGTCTTTATCTATTTCATTATCAAATCCATTCTACTTTTTGTTTCTGATGAGCTGCGGTCACATGGTCACAAAGCATGCATAAACATCTGTTTTGTCTCTTGGTTATTTTTTTGATTAGGCTGCTTTTATTATTCTACCCTCTGTAGTTCTGCTTTATCAACATCACACATGTCCCTGGTCTCTTAAAACAACATGCACATTAAAAAAATAAATAAACGTGACACAGCAACAGACACAGTAACAGCACAACTATAAGCTGTGCGTCCCATATTTGCTTCTCTGCCCTGCTTCTTTTTCTCAGCTGTCTCTCACGTGACACGAAACGTCAGGCAGTCACATGCAGTGTCATGATTTGATTGATTCATAATTAGATGTAATCATACATCCACACATATGCACGCATGTGAATACGCACACAGAAACACACACATTAACATAACACAAGTGTTTTTTGCGACTAGTGCTTCATGATTGGTGGATAACCTGTCACGGCGAGTGAGATGAGCCGTGTGGAAATAATAAAGGAGGATCCAATTGCAGGAAGTAGCGAAGGTGTGAAGATGGTTTATTGAACACGAAATATAAATAGACAAACGGCAACCGGAGAATGAACTAAACTCTACTGGGAACAACTAACTACTGAACATGAACCAGAACACGAACTACAAGAGAATAAGAAAACAATCCATAATGCAAAAAACACACCTAACATGACAACTCAAAATACTGGGTCAAACTGACCCAGAACCGTGACATAACCTCTAAGTTTTATGGTTCTCCAGCTTCTCATGCACGGCTAACATCCGGTGCTCTCGCGCTCTAGTCTACAAAATGACTAATTCATCAGTCACGCCTACCA